ACTGGAAAAAATCGTGCGTCTATGGATGAGGACAGTGGGTGGGGAGTGAGGGCGGAGGGTGGGGTGGGAACTGGGAGGAGGGGAGTTATTGGGGGGAAAAGAGGAACAAATGCAATAATCTGAACAATAAAGATTTAATTTTAAAAAAAAGCATTTTAAAAAATGTGAATACAAGAAGCTGGGCTGCACAGATAAATCCACAAAGGACAAGGATTTCTCTGGGAAGCCCAGCTCTGATTAAGGAGAAAGTACTTAGAGCAGCAAACCCAAATATTTGGGCCCATGGCTGACCAGGGCAGCTTAATAATGCTGGTCAGTGAGAGCATCCACATAACTTGCCTTGATCACCAATCTTTTGACTGTCATGAGAATTCCTGTGTGACAATATGTCAATTCACCTGGGCATGTGGGATTTAAGAGGTAAACAGTCACAGGTCATGTGTGCAGCCCAAGGTGGACCATGGTGGGTACCTGCAGGTGTTGGAGCTCAGGAGCCTAGAGAGAGTATCCTCTGACTACAGATATGTGTTCTCCATCCCCTTTGGCAATTTTATTTTTTACTATAAATTAAGCAATTGTCATACTAAACTATTACTGAGATTTTTGTGGGCTTGATTAATGTGGCTGAGTCCCTGTGGACCTGACAACATTTGGGAGCTCTGATGTTCCAGTTTCTAGATCTTCAATGGGAAAACTAGCTCTGAATTGTAATGATAATTCTACTTCCTCCAACCCCCCCCAAGACACACACATTCACAAACACATATAGTCACACATATGAAATATACACAACATACAGATGCACACACTCACACACACAATATATACACATCTACGAGGCCCTGTTTGGCCAGCCAGCCTCCCTGGATGACATCAATATCTCATCTTCCCTGCAACTGCAAAATCATGCCATTGAAAATGTATATTATTTCACCATCTTTGGTGGTGGCCAACTTTTCATCAAAGGCAAGCAGACACAGTTCAACACAGAGTCGGTCCAGCTATAAGAGCAGTTTCCTCCCACATTCTGCATGAGGTTGGCCATTATGGGGAGTCAGCAGGGGCTGTTCCCTTGGAGCAGGAATTGAGCAGAGTTACAGAGCTGAGAAGGAAACAAAGAATGACTTTTCTTCTCTCCCACCTACACTAGGTCCTTTCTTTGCAGAAGCTAAGAGCTGGTACAGCCCAACCCAGGGGGGCTTTATGGAACATCCTGTTTAATGTTGAAAAACATAATACCAAACACATGAAGAGCCAATTCTTTGAGAATGCCCTTGAATCTACTCTTTATTCCTGTTACTTCTTGTTAACTCACCCAGAATATATCCTAAAGTCCTTACTTAGCCTTTAAGGCCATGTGAACTGATCCCCAGCTACTCTCTATTTTCATAGCATTCTCTCTCTTCTGTTTATTTCACTCCAGCCCTGCTACCTCCTCACTGGTCCTTTAACCCACCCCCTGCTGCTGCCTTGGGACTTCTACACTTGCTGTCCCTTCTACATGGAATACTCTTACCCCACAGATATCCACATGGCCTGCTCCCTCATCTCATTTAGGTCTTTATTCAAATATCACCTTATCAGAGCTACTTTCCATCAAACCTAAAACATACAGCAGCCCCTACCTCCTATTATTCCTTATTGTCTTACCCTCATTTTCCTTCCTAGTTCTTACTCCCCACTTACATATTATATATGTGTTTATTGTCTGTCTTCTTCCACCAGAATATAAGCTCTTTGAAAGCAGGGGTTTTGTCTGATTTGATGACTGCCATTTCCCCAGGGCCTAGAATAGTGCCCAGCCCACAGAAAGTACTCAATAAATATGTATTGAATAAATGAATTGTGTTTCTTCTTCCCCATTTTTCTTTTTCCTACTTATTTTACCCCCTCTTTCAGAAGTTATAAAATCCTCAAACAACATGCTGACTCCAGTAGAAGTGCCTGGCACACAGTAAAGTCCAACAGGAAGTCTGGGCAGCCCAGCACAAAGTCTGGGGGCTCTAATTTGGTTGAGAAATGAGCTGGTTCTACAGAAACCCACCAAAGGGGAGACAATAATGGGATTCTAAGGCCATTCTAAAGGGAGAGGAATTGATTTAGTAGGCCTTTTAATTCTACAAAGAGAAGCCTAAGCCTGGGAAGGCTGGAAGAAGCAGAGATAGAATGCTCTCCTGCTATTATGAAAGAAGTCTGTATTGGTAAGAGAGATTTTTATATGTTGATGTTTTCTAGTTCCCCTGCCTGGTTTTGAAAAAATAAAGAGATGCCAGAAACTTACAGAATAAAGGAGAACAGAAAGGTTAGTCTATTCAATGTGGCAGGAAGACCAGGCTGAAGAAAAGATCAGAAGGGACTCCCAGCAATGGTGGATATTTCACATTCAGCTTCATTTTGTTTCAGGTTGTATGAAGAAATTTCCCTCATTAACCTCAGATTTTCAACAAAAGCTGTGTTAACCACTTCCAAGGACAGCCTTGTGTTAGCACTGCCTTAAGAAATCAAAGGAGCATTGTTTGTGTTTTGGGATGATGGAGACCAAATGGGCCTAGGGAAGCATGAAGAGGTAAGTAGTGGTGAGGTAGCCAGAGGTGATGGAGGAGAACTCAGAAGCAGGAAGTCAAAGATGTTAACCAGGAGAATGTAACCATCTACAGAAATTCTTGGAAATTTGGGCTAAAAAAAAAAAACACATTTTTTTTTTGCAATTAGTATTTGGATATTAAAGGAAAGGGGACTCTGAAATAATGAAGGATTTATGGACTTTGGGGTTACCCGCATCACAGAATCCAGATTTGAACCTCAGTGGTTATCTAGTTTTCTAACTTTATTTAACCATAGAAACATTTTCAGCAAATTGATTATTATGGCCCTAACCGGTTTGGCTCAGTGGACGGAGCGTCAGCCTGCGGACTCAAGGGTCCCAGGTTCGATTCCGGTCAAGGGCATGTACCTTGGTTGCGGGCACATCCCCAGTAGGAAGTGTGCAGGAGGCAGCTGATCAATGTTTCTCTCTCATCGATGTTTCTAACTCTCTATCCCTCTCCCCTCCTCTTTGTAAAAAGATCAATAAAATATCTTTTTTTAAAAATAATTATTATGAAGAACCCAATGTGTAAAATGGATCTGAATTTATGCCCACCTAGCTTTCCCATTGGATCCCACATGGGCCTTTAGGCACCTCTGTGGAACCTCAATACCCCAGTAGCACAACTTTGCACACATTTTAGGAAGATTTTGAGAGATTTCAATATAATATCTAAAAATGACCTAGCACTTTTTTCTAGTAAAAGGAGATTCCTGGCTGTAACACTGAGCTGAAAGTGTTTAGGTTTTAAAACATACCACATGTGTAAAATTCTCACGTGAAAATTAGTAGTAGTATGTCCTATTAAAGCAGTGGTTCTCAACCTTCCTAATGCCACAACCCTTTAATACAGTTCCTCATGTTGTGGTGACCCCCAATTTCATTGTTACAAATTCAACATAATTAAAGCATAGGGATTAGTCACAAAAACAATATGTAATTATATATGTGTTTTCTGATGGTCTTAGGCGACCCCTGTGAAAAGGTCGTTCAACCCCCAAAGGGGTCGCAACCCACAGGTTGAGAACCATCAGCACTAAAGTGTGATGGCTATTTACCCTGCAGTTTGTCCTGGTCCAGAGAGGCCAGCTGGTAAGTTACTGACAATAAACTCACATAACCTGTTTTGTTTTATAGACTCTAACCATTTATTTAACAAAATGGAAATTTCTAATATTCAGCATTTTTCTACATTTAAAATTTCAGGGAAAAGAGACCCATGTTCTACAGCATATATTATTACAAAAGAGTTCATCATCAACTTGGAAGGGTTAAAACCCTTTCTCTCATGAGTAGGATTCATCATCCTTTAGTGAAGTGAGGCGACATTTCTCTTGTGGAGAAAGTCTGTGTTTCTTGTCGGAGGAGAGGGATTACCAGCACAGTCTTCCGAGGATTTCTTTTATCAGTAAGACAGGTGGAAGTCCACTTCTCTGCTTTGGTTCCCAGGTCAGGTACAAATCCTTTCAAAGCAGGGAAGAACTCGGGTTTTCTTGGTGGTTTTGCTCACGTGATGATCCCTGTGCATGTAGCTATCATTAGTGCAGATGTGTGGGAGACACTTTGAATAATGGATAGCACCCACGGGAAAGCAATGGGCCCCCAACAGAGTTTGAATTCTTGTTCTTTCAAACTCTGAAAGCCAGTGATCACTTGTGCCTCGCAGAATCCGGTGGCTCTATCCCCAGGTGCAAAGTACATTTTCCAGGTTTCTCCAGGGCAAAGGCAGGGTGCACACCCTCATTAAACCTGTGCCTAATGATGAAGAGCAACTGTCCACTTTCGGCGTTTATGAATAGAAGCCGCTGGTGGTTGTAGTCCAGCAGAATGCCCACCCTGGCAGGACGCTCAGTCACATGGACGTCGCTCACAATGCCACTATAGAAAAATGTGTATCTGAAATGAAACGGGATGGAAAATTAAAAACTTCAGAAATCCTGATGGACCAAGATAAAGAAAATCACTCGGAGGTCACCAATGGTTCAGTTATTAACCTCAATTTACAACAATGAGTTGCAATAACATTGTCCCAGGTAGTTTAAACACATTCCTCCTAGATGCTAAAATGCATAGCTCATCCCAACAGATGAGCATTTTTAATAATTTTGTTCCTTCTACATTAGGAAGCAGTCCCAGAATAACCAACATGTGCCTCCCTTGTGATTTTTCTCAACATTCTAATTCTCTCCCAGCTGCCCACATGTTTTAACTACCACATTCACGGTGTGTCATTCTTTTGAATAAAACTCCTTTGAGGCTGACATGTATTTTAAAAAGTACTTCCGGCTTGCCTTCCATAAAATGTATTAATTTTACAGTTTAAGGATTTATAATAACTTACATAAGGGCCTTTATGAAATTTGAGAAATATTTTATTATACAGCTTTATACAGCTTTAGCCTCTGTATAAGCTCCCCTCATTCCAAACCAACTTTCTTTTTTGACTTAGCAATGATTTTGTGGTCTTGCAGCTAAAGGGAATGCCTTTGGTTTATCTTTTCAATTGAAATACATTTAATTCAATAAGTATTCACTTGGGCATATCTGTGTGCCCAGCACTGGGCACACTGTCCTTGACCACCAGGATCCCATACTCTACTGAACAGGAAGGAAAAACTGATGATGACTTAAACACTGGCTAGAGCTGAGACTCCAGCTCAGAGGACAGACTGTAAAGTGTTTACTAAACACATCTAATGGACCTTTTTTTGCTGTGAGAGGAAAGGTTCAAGGCCAGGTTGGGAAGGAGAAATTGCTGAACAGAAGAAGCTAAATTCCTCTGTGCAAAAAAAGGTAACACAAATTTGGAGGTTTTGCCTGCTGGTCTTAGAAATGGAAGGTGGAGACCTGAAAGTAGGGGAAAGGAAGAAGTAAGAGGTGGAAAGGAAGAAGAGAGAAGAGGAATAGTTCTGTGTTTATGGTAGGTCTGAGGGGTGGGAGCAACACCAGGGCAGAGTCAGCCCCCAGAATCCGGGTAAGTGACTCTGATGTGGGTATGGCAGAAAAGGCTAAGGACCTTTAAAACCTTGTGATGTCTCTTAAAGGCCCAGAAGCTTGAGTGCAGGTATACTTAGGGAATGGCAAGTTGGCAACTTCATTGCAGAATAAAGCTCATGTAAAAGGGCAAAGGTTCATGGGAATGGGAAGATAAGCAAGACTTTGTGATGATAAAGAAACATAGAGCAGAAAAGGGTTGCAGGCGCCAATGATGGGGACCAGCAGTGTAGGCTGGGGCTCTTACAGAAGGCTTGGGGAGCATAGGACTCATACTCATCCAAAAAAAATATGGTCAGGCTGGATAGGTGGAAAAGAGGGAGAAGACCCAAGCAGTGGGGGCAGCAGAAGCAATGATGAGGTGGCAGAATATGCCTGTATGTCATGGAAAACATTACTATTGGCCTGACAGGTTTGGAGGGGACATGTGAATGACTTTGAGGATATTTCATGGATCAGTAAGCCAGGAGCCAGGAACTAGACCTGCCCTGTTCAATACAGTTACCACTAGCCACATGTGGCCACTTAAAATTAATTAAAATTAAATATCAAGTCCTACTAACCATATTTCAAGTGTTCAGTAGCCACATGTGACACTATTTTTCTATTTTTGCAGAACGTTCTATTGCACAGCACTGGTCTAAAGGATTCTGAATGCCCAAATAAGCCATATCCCTACCCTTGAATGGAAGGTCCCTGGTGTCCAGCCCAGGTCAGTCCCTCCCCACCGTGGAGGCCAAGGATGTAAAGACATTCCTTGAAGACTTGGCTCCACCAGTTCTACAGGGCCTGGAATATGCCCTGCCCCACTTCTGTCTCCATTTCTTCCTAAGCACATCAGTTTCTTCTTCAACTTGGACTCTGGCCTAAAACCAAGCCTGTCTGCCGGGGGCATGACTCCTTGTCCAGTTACTGCCTGTTCCTCCTTGGAACATAATACAATTCTGTTTTCTAGAGTCTAGAAATTGTTATTAGAGGCTAGTCAAAGGGCCTTTTTGTAAAATCAATATCCAGTTTCAGCTCTAAATCTGATTATAAACTCCAGGTTTGAGTGATGTTTAACTCTGGGAAGGGGCTAGGTCCTTAAACATTGCACAATGCTGAATATCAATTAATTATAATTGCCGTGACTTGGTGAGCTGTGACTTTAAATAGCTCTTGGAGATGGTGTCCTTATGAACCATGTCAGAGAATCAAACTATCAAGTAGGACGCAGGGAGAAATGTGCAAAATCCCAATCTGTGGGCCTTTCTCTGGAAACTTGCAAGCACTGAAGGCTTTCTTTTTAAAGCACTACATTTGAATAATATCCCACATTGTATGATAATTTGCAATTTCAAAGCTCTTCCCTGTACCCGATTTCATGTGATCCTCACAACCCCGAAAAGTAGCAGACCAGGCATTGTTGTCCCCTGGCAAAACACATGAGGCATATGCTCAGAGGGTTAAGCAACTTCTGGTCAGTAGCCAATAGGACAGAACCAGGACTAAAATCAGCCTCTGGTTCCCAGCCCATTGCTCCTTTATTAGACCATCCTGTGAGCATATTCGGATCATAACATGGCTGCCCTTAACTCTCTGAGATGAACACTGGTTAATGGCTTTTTCACTTTAACCATCTAAACAATACTAATAATCTAGACCAGGGGTCAGCAAACTTTTTCTGTAGTGGGCCAGAGAGTAAATATCTCCCGGGGCTATTCAGCCTCTGTTGCGACTAACTCTGCCATTGTAGCACAAAGCAGCCACAGATAGTATGTAAACAATGAGCATGACCGTGTGCCAATAAAAGTTTACTCACATAAACAGTGGATCATATTTGGGCTGCGGGCTATAGTTTGCCAATGCTTGATATAGACCATGTGGGAAGGGTATTGGGGATCCACTTCTTTCTCACTCCTGTTGACTCCTCTCTGTGGAGGGAGCCTTTTAGCTTTGCCCTGTGGATTCTCCCTACCCTGGGGTGAGTTTAGGAAGAAAAACTGTCCATGCATGGCCGGCCCAATAGTCCCTTCCTATTCCCTGTCTCTTAATTGGGAGCTTTCCTGGGAGATACACATCCTTCTCCGCTTCTCCAGGGACCAGCTCTTCCTTGCAGGGCAAGGAAGCTGGCCTGGCCAAGGCTATGAGTGGATGTGTCTGTCTCTCAGGTATGAACTACACTCTCTAAAATTGGCTTCCTCAGCAGTAAGTATAATAGTTTAATCTCCATATACTTGACTCTCTTGTTTTCTTTCTTAGTTGGTTCAGAACTTGGGAAGGGGACTGGGATGGCATTATTAGGCCCTCAGAGTTCTCTAACTACAAAGCAATTCATGACATTTTGATGAAGAGGGGAGGGGCTGGGCTGCAGCTTACCTCTGTGGCTCAGAGCAGTGCATGTACCATGAGGTCTCCCCTTGTCCCAGTGCACCAGCCTGCACAGCTGAGCTGGAGCAGATGCCAAGTCGATAAGCTGGGCAGTCTGTGACTGTGGTTTCCCAGTAATGCTGGCCACAGGCAGGCAGCTCCTCACCCAGCACTGATGGGATTCTGTAGGCAAAGTTAATTAGGATTTGCCAGGCTTCATCTCATAGACATCAACATTCACACATTCACACCCAGTTTAAGCAGGACTCTATCCTTGGGAACTGCTAGAATTTGACTAGACCTCCATTGTTCATTGTGCCCCCAACCTTGACCTGATTGCCACAGAATTCCCTACCTGTGGTCGGCAAACCGCGGCTCGCGAGCCACACGCGGCTCTTTGGCCCCTTGAATGTGGCTCTTACACAAAATACCACGTGCAGGCGCGCACGTACAGTGCGATTGAAACTTTGTGGCCCATGCACAGAAGTCAGTATTTTGTGGAAGAGCCACACTGAAGGGGCCAAAGAGCTGCATGTGGCTCACGAGCCGTGGTTTGCCAAGCCGCAGTTTGCTGACCACTGCGGCCTAAACTCTCATTATGCATTTGACGTATTCCACTGCCACATACAATTTACATGTACTATACATGTAAGAAGAAGCTGGGAACCAAACAACAACTAGAATAATGCAGGACAAAAAGAAATGGCACAATCTGCTTTTAAAGAAATTGAGACTATGCAAGGGAGGCAGGTAGGGTGTTCCAAGAGAGCATTACTTGCAAATTTTTCTTACGAAACTTGCGAAAAAAAGTTTCCAAAACCTTTTTTTTAACAATGAGTTCCAGTGTCTACTGACTTAACTGGGCACAGAGACCAATGAGGTGCTGATCTTGAACAGCAAGACGGCTGGTGAGGCCAGAGCAGAACGGAGTATGGAAATTGAGACTCTGGCCTCTTTGGATTTGTAGTAGGTGTGCCTGAGAGGTTGTTGAAAGGTCTCTTCTTGTTTCACCTTAGCTATTTTTATAAGAGGCACAGGGAAGTGAACCAAAGCACTTTTGGTAACCTTGTTTGCATGAATTGCTCAATTTTGCTTTAAAATGGCTGAGACAGCAAAGAAGCATTTTTAATTTAAGCAGTGTTAAGTCAGCACCTCTCCCTCTCCCCTTTAATAGATGAGAACATGATTAATACAAGGGAATGTGTTTCACTTTTTCATGTCCTTACCCAACTTCATTTCAGAGAGGTGCTCTCTGGAGCAAGCTTGCCTGCCTGATAACTATGAGATCATTTTTAGATTAATAATAAATAAGTAAAATTCTATAAAATGTATTACAGTTATCAGCAGTTATTATGTATGAACTCTTACCAACCAGCTTATTTCTTTTATTTTTTATTTATTGAGAAACTATGAAAAAAAATATAGAAAAGCCCAATCTATTCTTAAAATATTTTATTTTGTGAGTTCACTCATTTGTATATATTTAGCATCTATTGTGTTTCTGGGCGCCATGCTAGATTCTGGGGATTCAAAGATGCAGAATATAAGGCCACTGCTTGAGGATTATTCAAGATGAAGTAGCTGACAAGCGACTCCACACATGTTCAGACCCTTTCACGGGTCAAATCAAAGGGTGCCAGGGCCAAGAGAAAGCTTGGGCATTTCCAGGAGCAGGTAACGCCTGAGCTGGGCCAGAGACAGGTGAATAGCAACCTGATAGGAAAGCAGTGCAAGTCCCTGTTGGTCAACTCAGTGCTTTCTTGTGAGCGCTGGCTGACAGCCCACACCAGCGCCAACAGCAGCCTGTGTTTCACAAGGGTTACAGTTTTCAAAAGCCTTTCATATATATTCTTCCATTTGACCATTTTGACCTTTAAATAACCATGAGAGATTGCAGGCAAATTGCAGAGCCGTCTCCCGATTGAGCCCTCGGCTTTTGGTGCTTCATTACTTTGATGCTTCCTTTTGTGGGTGATACGGGTGTTGGGGGGTGGGCAAGAAAGTCTGAAAAGTCCTGCATGTGACCAGAGCTAGAAACTCAACAAAATGTCATTCTCCTCTATTCCTTTCCAAGTGGATGGATGTAAAATCTGGTTTGCTATTGAAAATAATAGAAGAGTTAACCTGGATGCTTTTTCACTAAACCAGAGGTAATTCCATAACGCCGCCTATGTTTTAAACAAACCATCTGTGCTTATATTTCCAACAAAAATACTGACACTTGCTCTAAGTTATGAACTCTCTCTGTCACCTTCCCTCTAGTAATGAACCATAACCACACTGTATGGGTGTGCACACATTTCTATTCGATACCACACACACCCAGGCATATTCATGCACCCAAAAATATGCACAACGAAGTGACACACCCTCAGAACACTCTAATGCAGAGGCATCTTGTACTTCTACTACTTACTCTGTCAGCCGTCTTCTCTCGGCAAAGCTGATCACTGTCCCATTTGAGGAAATTTGCAGAGCAGGGTGAGCTGTTTCTCTCAACAAGCGAAACCGGGTTCCTATTGTAGTTAAGAAAATATGATTACTAGTATAACATTGCCACAATGTCCAGTGCAGTCTCTAGGCCAAGTCCCTTATTTCAGACCTTGGTCTCCCTTTCTCCAGATATCGAAATACCCCAGTGTCTTTGGGCCCACAGTGAAATAAGGCATTAGTGGATGCCAGTGGCTGGCTACTTCTACTAGTGCGCTTCCTGTGCTAAAACTTGCTGTGCTATGGAAAGTGTGCTCCTTGCATATTCATCCCCTGGAAATGAGTTCGAAATGCAGAATCCTAGGCCTCACCCCAGACCTACTGAATCAGAATCTGCATTGTAACAAGATCCTCATGAGAGTTGTGTCCACATTAAAGTTTGAAAATGCACTGGTGTAACTAAAGGAGTGGTTCTAAGAGTGAAAGTTACAGGCACCATATTGGGACGGTAGGGAATTTAATTTCTGGGCAGGCAGCTCTCGTGTCTTCTCTTTATAAATATTAGGCAGATATTTATAAATATATTTTCATCACAAATGAGGCACATATGCAAGTTTTTGCTGACTAAGCATATCACTTAATGTGCCACACTCAATCTTGTGCCATCTTTGGGTCTAGGATAAATAATAAAATGATTGCCTTTCCATTCCTCAGCTCTTTTCACAATGATTGAGAACAAACAAACATTTCTGTTGACATCACTTGGGTATTTTCTACAAAATGTCATTGAACAGTTTTATCACATCCTTGAGTTATTCATTCACTCAACAAACATTAATTGGCACAAACAACGTGGTAGGCACAAACAAACAAACAGAGGAATACAGCTGGAAGCTTGTTCATAGAGTTCACAATGCAATAAAATAAGACTATCCCTGCCCTGACCGGTTTGGCTCAGTGGATAGAGCGTCAGCCTTTGGACTGAAGAGTCCCAGGTTCGATTCCGGTCAAGGGCATGTACCTTGGTTGCGGGCACATCCCCAGTGGGGGGTGTGCAGGAGGCAGCTGATCAATGTTTCTCTCATGGATGTTTCTCTCTATCCCTCTCCCTTCCTCTCTGCAGAAAATCAATAAAATATATTTTTTTAAAAATAAGACTATCCCCATCCCACACACTCAAAACATACCCACAAATTGTAACACACTGTGAGGCAAACAAGAATCATCTGGGGAGATTAAACCCACACGTTAGAGCCTGTCTTCCAATAACCAGATCAGGATCTCCAGGAATGGTGTTTAGGCATCAGTATTTTTTAAGCGCCCCGAGAGACTGCTAATTGGGAGCCAAGGTTGAGACCCTCTAAACCAGAAAAATAAAAGAAACATTTCGGCCCTTGACCAATCTTGAGTTCTCATGCCAAAAACCTTGCCCTGCCAGCAGGTTGAGGTCTTTAAGAAGTTGCCTTCAAGGATGTCTCCTCTGGGTGGTGGAAGGGAAGGTATGAGAATGCTTGGAAATATGCCGCTGTGTGCAAAGGAGAAAGTACCTCTGGTGGAAATGAGGGCAGCTTCACTCTGTTCACTTGTTCCAAACGTATTGATGGCTCTCACGTAGAAAAAGTAATTATCATTGGGCTGGAGGTTAACCTTCAACTGGAGTCCTTTAATTCCAGAGTAAGACCTAAGTACAAAGGGAGAATAATAATTTTAAATATAATTCCATTGCTAAACAGCTCATCATATTTCAACCCTATAGTGAATGAACATCTTTTATTAACAACAAATAACTTATTTTTTCTCTTTTAATGACCACTGGTATTAGCAAGCAGGATTATATAAGATGGTTATTATTCACTAAGATTACTTTATCAAATCATTTGTACCTTTGTCAACTTTTGTCCAACAGATGGCTTTCAAAATGCTCTTTGGAATAAAATCAGACAAACTTTTTAAAAAATTTTTCAGAAAAGTGACTATCTGTTAATGAATCTCCAAGAATATATTATTTTCTTTATCAATCTTTGGTTCAGAGGGCATTTTGGGATGAAAATTATGTTAAAACCATCTACAATACAAAGGACCCTAATTATCTCATTCAGATTTGGAATTGTAGAAAACTTAAGGTGAGTGATGATTTTGTACATGGCCATCATGCTAAAGTTATAGAAACTGATCTCTAAAGAAGACAATATATATATTTTTAAATTTTATCTTTATTGTTGAAAGTATTACGGATATCCCCTTTGTGTGTTTTATTTTTCCATGAACCCCCGCCCCCACCCCTCCCAGGCCTTCACCACTATGAAGACAATATCTTTGAAGGCAAGCTTAATCCTAGCGAGAAGAGAATTCTAATTGTCACATAAAATCCCCCAAACTGCAATTCCTAAATCTCTCATCTACATGAAAAGAAAGTGATGGTAGTGGTATCTGATTGGCAGCAGGCTTGGCAAGTAAACTGTAACAGCCCAACCATTTAAACAATAATGGACTTGCTGGATTAGAAGATGGAGCTCTCTGAAGTTGCCAAGTTAGCTAAAACAGTTTTGTGCCTTTTTTCCATTCTCTTTAATCTGCTCCATATCATGGCCTAGAGCATTTATAAATAAAGCACACAAGTGCTCTTGCTTCTGGAGTGGTGAAGGTGGGGGTTGGGGGTTGGGACAGGCTGGGAGAGGACAATGGGGGGAAAAGGGACATATGTAATACTTTCAACAATAAAGAATTTTTTTAAAAAAGAAAACTACAGTATAATAGTTTTCATGTTCATTCTCAAAAGGATAGGTTTGTTTTTAATCTGCTTGCTTGCTTTGTTTGTTTTTATATTACTTTCTGTTTGTTTTGTTATTATTGAGCATACCACAAAAGGTTTAGAATCAAAGAGTGGCCACTCTTCATCCACAGAGAGATATTTTTTTTTCAGGTTATTTCTACCTCTGTTGATTTATTTCACTTCTCACTACCTACCTTAGAGAATAATATGAAAAACCAGGAAAAATAAAAAGTATTATTGACTCAGAAAACAAAGGAATTTAGAAATTTTTAAAAGCATAAAATCTCTATAGAATAACAATCCCCCAACCACCACCATTTCTAAAAGCACAAAAACTCCATTATGTTCCTCAGAAGGAAGATGGAGGGAAGGGGAGTAGCCTGCTCTATTTGTATACCTTCTATTTAGTGCCCGTGCCTGGAAAAGGTCAGTATAAACCCCTCAAATGTTATTGGTTGTTATTTCAGAATCTACCACCTGACCAGAGCCTTCGGGAGAGTACTATCTTTAGATATGCTGAGAATGGATCCATGCAATTGAGCCACATGTCAACTAATTATGCTTCAGTTAATTAATGAAAAATGTCCTATGATTGAGAATTTAATTCCCAACTAATATCCAGAATATTATTCTGGGATGGATGTATTGCTTATTTTATTTGAATTGATGACAGAAGGGATGTTTTAAACATACATTAATTATAGTAAGCAATAAAATTTTTGTCTCAATAAGCACAGTAAGGTCTGAACTGAATTTCAGACTTCATCCACTCATTAAGTAAATATTTATTGATTACTTATTATATGCATAGGCCCTGTCTCTACCAGAGGTGGAAGTGGCAAGGATAAATGAGGAAATTTCATGTCCAGAAACTAGATAGAATATGCTGACTTCATTTTGTAACAATGTGGCTGTTAAATGCCAAGGATGCTGTTTTGGGGGGTAAATGTTTGCTCTTAAGTTTTATAAAGTCTGTCAAGGAGAAAATGGAATTTCTATTTATCTATTTATGTAGATATAGTCAACTGCATGCTATGTCTTATCACTTATTTAAAGAATAAAGGTTTACAAGGTACTTAAGTCACTATAGGATCAGATCCTGCTTTCAGTGCCTGACAGCAGGTCACGCAGACTTGACTTTTATGCATAATGCCCTCACTGAATATGTGAAATAGAAGCGCTGGGCATGAAAATGAAAGCAATACAAAATGTGGTAGTGTTTTATTGTTTATAAGTTGCCATCTTATGCTCAAGAACCAAGAATAAAGCAAAAAAGTTTAAATACAAATGGTTGGTTTCCATGTCTATTTATTTTGTCTGATCTCACTTAAATATCACAAAAGTCTTCATGTCAACTGCCCCTGCTTTTTAGCCAAATAAACACTTCAAACATTTTTTTGAATTTGAAAACTGAAGAGTGGCACCCTCCTGTAGAGTATACTCTTTTAAAATTTCAAAAACAAACACTTGTTATAATTTAACAACCAAATCCACATGACTTATAATGAGCTTGCAGTTTACAGAATTAAAATTCACAGCATATCCTGATTAAGGTATGTGATCAGACAGCTGATGAAACCACAACAAGTTGTTGGTGCTTAGATAAGAAGGGGTTTTAGCCTTGTCAGTAATATGACTGATCTGACTGTTAGAAGTCTAGAGCCAATAATAAAATCCAAAAGACAACAAGAAATATAACTCAATTGGTCTCACTTTGGGTCATAAGTGTGGAATTCTCCCTACAAGTGCCATAGTGTGGTGCAAAAGGATGTCTTTATATGTGTAGCTTCCAGGAATACCAGGACCGGGAAGCAACTAGAAACCCCGAGTCATCAGCAAAGTAGCTGATTGCTGGTGGAGAATAGCACATTGTGGAGTCCAACCACAGAGCTCTGTGCCCAGCAGGTCTTCAAAGGACCCTCAACCCTCTCCGTTGGAGGACAAAGGACATCTGTTAAACTCCGATGCTGTGAAGCAGAGAGAAACAATTTAAATAAGAGACCAACCTACTATCTCCTCAGAAGTCTGAATGGCTAGCATGTGAATAAGTCTGATCTCCTCTTCTTTTGTTTGTTTGTTTGTTTCCAGAAGGCAAATGAGTGGAAGCTATGAGGAAGCTGATATCTGCCCAATATAATGAACATCTTTCTAGCTTGAGCCCTTTCATTCTTTAGTTTTTGCAAGGAATGATCAAAAAGTTTGCCAACTAACTATGGACAATGGAGCAAGAATCATTTTACTTGGGAATTAAAAAGGATCTTTATGAAGTAAAAAATTAGAGAACTAATGCTTAATGGGAAAATACTGAAAGCATTCCCATTGAGTCAGAGGGACGGACATGAGGTTAAAACAAATTTGGAGCCATAATCGGTTTGGCTCAGTGGATAGAGCGTCAGCCTGCGGACTGAAGGGTCCCAGGTTCGATTCCGGTCAAGGGCATGTTCCTTGGTTGCAGGCACATCCACAGTAAGGAGTGTGCTGGAGGCAGCTGATCGATGTTTCTCTCTCGTCGATGTTTCTAACTTTCTATCCCTCTCCCTTCCTCTCTGTAAAGAAACAATAAAATATATTTTTTTAAAAAACAAACAAATTTGGAGACAGGAGCTAAAATAGTTACCATTTGCAGATTATATGATATTTTTTAAATATAGAAAACTCAAGAAAATCACCTGAAAAATGCTTACATAATAAGAAAATTCAGTAAGATAGCTAGGTGTGAAACTAATATAAGAAATCATAAGGCTGACACCTGATTTCTCATCAGAAACTCTACAAGCCAGAAGGGAATGGCATGATATGTAATTATATATGTGTTTTCTGATGGTCTTAGGCGACGACCCCTGTGAAAGGGTCGTTCAACCCCCAAAGGGGTCGCGACCCACAGGTTGAGAACCACTACTGTAAGGGATTGCTGAGAAGAAGCAGAGAGAGAAACCTAGCAAGACAGAATTAAAATGGCTATAAATAAGTACCTCTCAATAATAACCCTAAATGTAAATGAATTAAATGCTCCAATCAAAAGGTGTAGGATAGCTGAATGAATACAAAAACATGACCCAACTATATGCTGTCTACAAGAGACCCACCTCAAAACAAAAGACATACACAGGATGAAAGTGAAGGGATGGAGAAAAATTTTCCATCAAATGGAAAAGAAAAAAAAAAGCTGGAGTAGCAATACTCATATCTGACAAAATAGACTTTAAAAGCATCATGCTAAGTGAAATAACCCAATTGGAGAAAGATAAATATCATATGATCTTATTTGTGGAATATAATGAACAACATAAGCTGAAGAACAAAAATAGAGCCAGAGGGGGGGGAAATATACTAGAATATAATAGAAGTAATCCTGTTATTTGCAGATTTTTAATATTTCCTACAACTTTTGTGATATCATACTGTGTGAGTACAGTTTTGGTAATATTATTATATTTAAAATCCTTTTATTCTTGAAATATTAATGTTTATTGCATGTAATATTATTATATGTAAGATCATTTTTCTTGAATAATTGGTGTTTATTGCATGTAACATTATCATACTTAAAATTGGTTTTTTGAGATATTAATGCTTATTGCATGTAACATATTTAAGATGATTTTTCTTGAAATATTAAGTTTTATTGCATGTAACATTAAAAAATAAATTTATAAAAAGAAAGAAATCAAAAGCCTTCATATACAAATCTATATGTATATAAAAGCCTAATATGCAAATTGTTCCCTTGGGAGTTGGATCTGGAGACCAGGAATTTGTTTGCTCGCTATAATGTGTGCTGACCACCAGAGGGCGGCACGGAATGAAGGAAGGCCTTGGCTCACTGCCGGCAGCCAGGGAAGGAAGGCCCCAGTCGGCAGCCAGAAGGTCCCGATAGGCCCTGATCACCGGCCAGGCCTAGGGACCCT